TTCTAGAATGAAAGACTTGGTAGCATTGACTGCTTCTGAGAAGACAAGGATGAGAGGTGAGAGGTAGAGCATGTGTGTTATTTAACCTTTGCAATATACAATTTGAATAATTCATATAAAATGTAACTGAAATTTTGAAATATTCACAAGGAAAAAGGCAAATTTTCTGGGAAGTTAAAATTACTTATTGTTTTAGAAACAGCATACATTATACTGGATTCATGGACACTTAAAGCCCAGGGGAAAAAGAGCACCTACGATTTTAAAATGAACCCTTATATTTCTCCAAATTATGTGAGTTAATCTAAATTTTATCACATAGTAATAGATAACCACTGAAGTTTCCTCCAAATAGTTAAGGTATATTATATTTTATATTAGCTAGAAGAGATATACAATGTTATATTCCATTTATTTTCCTCATGTTTTTTGACAGAAACTAATTTTGCCAAAAACTTTTAAATGTATATAAATATTATTACACATAAATCCTAAAATTTTATACTACAATCTTAAAATGCTTAATGGAATAATAGTATCTAGTTAAGAAGAATAAAAGCAATACTGATTATAAAACACAAAACTTACTTAATAGAGGAATAATTAAGCTTCTTAAAACATATTGCTATTTACTGATTGGAAAAGCATAAGATACAATATGCTTTGGTGGGCACAAAAATATCACTGTATTGACAAGTTTTTGTTGTACAAATGAAAACTGTTTCACTATCACAGTTCAAAGTTCTAAAAATGAAGATGCTGACTAAAAATAAAAATAAGGGTGGAGTGATGGCTCGGTGGTTAAGAACACTGATTCAATTCCCTGTGCCCACATGGTGGCTCCCAGCCATCTCTAACTTCAGTTTCAGGATCAATGCCTTCTCTGACTCCTGTGGGCACAGGATAAATATTCATATACATATAAAATAAAAGGAATCTGAAAAATAGAAACAAGAATTTCAAATAAAATGTAGAAAAAAATGTGATACAGTCAGAGGGCAGGAGTGTGGTAAGTCCAGACTCATGACAACAACCAGCTCCCAAACCTTAAGGTCTATAAAATAGCAACAAGGGATTCCTAATTTAAATTGAATAAAAACTAAGACACTTATGTACACTGCAACTTAGCTGTACTCCAACAAAACTGTAAATATTTCTTAGAAGTCTTATATGTATATATAAAAATATATATGTACAATAGAGACATATACATACATAATTTATAAGAATATGGGCTCTTATTGACTACATGGCAAAGTAAAAGGAACAGTAATATTTTCAACAAATAGGAATATTGATAGTTTGTACCATAATATGAAATTCACTATCATTGTCACAAGCAAAATATGAACTATTAAATCACCCTATTAAAGCTTTTTTCCATCTAAAGTTATAAAGCAATAGTAATTATACTTGAAATAGAAATTCTACTGATAATCTAGAGATAACTGTAGTAGAACAAAAATTATTCCAATAACATTTTTTCATCTGGGAAGCAAAGTATCCCAGGAGATGGTCTTTGCTGTCGTCTTTATGTCTAACCATCATCCTTCTTCATTAGCATGCCATAGGAAGCTATTTATATATTAAACTTTTCTTAGAATGTGTTGTTATTCCTAATAATTTTAAATGAGAATATTTCTGTACAGACAAAAGTAAATTGTATAAAAGCATTATCAATGAAGTTATGCTGAGGACCAAGGTAGTAAACTGCTAGCAAGGAAATGAGTCACAGTGTTCGGTTGATCTTCCCAAGAGTCTTAAATGATTTGAATGATTTCATATCAATGGAATGGAGTGAGCTGATGTGAATACTTGCTGCTTTGCTGTTCAGTAATGGCACAGTTGTACATTGTTGTCCCTTGTTTCCATGATGTGCATCAGATACCAGATATCCTTATATAAAGATATGGTAATAGTTTTATATAGTCTACCACAACACTCTGTATACTTTCTTTTAAAAAAAATAAAAAGAGGTCTGTGTGTGTGTGTGTGTGTGTGTGTGTGTGTGTGTATACACATGTGGAAGTAAGAGGGCAACTTTTGAGAGTCCATTTTCTCTTTTCTCCATGTGAGTCCTGAGGAATGAATCCCTGCTGAGATATCACACATGTCAGATCATTTATATCATCTCTGGACTAATTATAATATGTAAAACAACATAAATATGCTAGAAAAATAGTAAGTATACTATAGCATTTGGAGGGACAATCACAAGCAAAAAGTATGTACATGTTCCCCACAATTTTTTCCCAAGTAGTTTCTGTGAGACTAGCTGAATCCACACAGGTGAAATACATAGATGTAGAGAGGTGACTCTATCTTCTGCAGTTGGCATTTGGGCTAAAGCATCAGAGATTCCTGCAGTCAGTTACATTATTTACGCTACACATTACAAGTGTAAGACCAGCCAGAAACAACTGAACTTAAGTGGCATAGAGCATATGCCTCATTGTAGAAGAGAGACACACTTGAATCTCAACCAACAACAAGCTGCCAAACCCTGCTCATGACATGCTTTTCTAAGGTGATACGGTGACTGAAAACACACACACACACACACATACACACACACACACACACACACGACAGCAAGAAAGTTATTTGGTAACTCAGCACCTGAGTAAAAGCATGCCTGATTTCTAAGAATCAAAACAATGGGAAATGTATTGTTTTCAGCATTTGGCAAGAGGAGAATACTATGGAAAGTTCCAGGGCTAAAGAACACTTAAATTTTGCTAATGTCCTATACTAAAATAAAAGTGTAAAATGACAAGAGAAATCACATTGTGACTTGCGCTAATATGTGCAGCATTACTGAAGTGGAATGCAAATCAAATATGTAGCTTGGTAATAAATTTAAGGGAACATGGTAAACCCTGGCAGATGCGTACAGATAGGTTTGTATAAACAGATAACTGTCATATGGATTTCAATGGGAGCCTACAGATATAAAATGTATCTTCATAGTCAATTTTTACATGCTTTTTGTTTTAAAGGAAGTATTAATATAAAAAGGTTTCATTGACAAACTGAAAGACCAATAAACTCTTCCAGAGTTGTCCAGTGGAAACTCTAGCAGTAACATCTTGCATACTCTGTATAGAAAAACAAAGGTGTCCACTGTGGAAAAAAAAATAAGAGTTTTTCTTTTTAGTATCTATAACTACATACTAAAATGATCCAAAATATAATGTTTACATAATTTAGCACCAGAGCTTATAAATGAAGTAAACATTCATTAATCGAATTGTTACTGGGGATATTTAAGTAGCTAAACCTGGCATGAAGGCAAACAAAAATGGCTCCAAGAGCTGAGCAGGAAAGAATGGGGTCCCAGGAGGGCACATCAGTAGGAGAACGGGTGAAACAAAGAGAAGACAGAACACGGGGCTTGAGAAATCGCAGGGCCTCCTGTACCACTGCAGATGGCATCTGAAATGTATGTGAATAGGCATGCTGTTAGCTGCTGGGGACATTTTCCTTTCGTGATAAATATAGACGTAGTGTTTTGTCTGTATCTCCTAATTCTTCAGTACGACACTTTGTTTTGTTGATACAGTGGCATGGCTAGAGGGCATATGGCTAAGAAGTGGCTACTACTTTAGTTTGCAATCAATAAAATATTTGTATGACTGAAAATTTAGAATTGTAAAATTATTAGAAGCAGGGGACAATATAGAAAGCACTTTGAAAATCTGTAGAAAACAGTGAGATGGCTTCAAGTATCTCTCCATTTAATTTGATATTGGATGAAAATAATAAAAAGAAAAAAACCCCTTTACACTCAGAAGAGCTGTTCTAATGTTAGGGAAACACTGAATTAAGAGTAGTGATTTAAAACTTGATTAGGAAGAGGACATACTATTGATGAATGCATCATTATTACAACGCGCAGAGAACATCATGAAGAAACTCAGAGTGATCAGTATAAGGTCGCACTGCTCCTATTCTCTTCCCAGCTCACCACTCCCTTCTTTCAAGAACAAGCTTCATGGAGACAGGATGAGAAAGTGTGTAGACTCCACTCAGGTCCGCAGCACCCCACTCCCACTTATGTGCTGAGGTAGGGTAGACCTCAGGACCATTGTCACCTCACTGAGCTACATCCCTGGCACTACCAACAGGACAAGTTCATACAGCTCAAGTAGAAAGTCAATTCCACTACTAGCTGTCTCAGATGGGCATTCCTTTTTTATGCGTAGTTGAAGTTACAGTTTGATGGTATCAAGTGGCACATGACTTTCTATATTTCTGACAGCATTTCAATAAATTAATACTCTCATACTGACATGTCATCCTTCTGTGTCAAAATGCATATCTAAATTTCAATACTTGAAAAGTGCTATGTGAAGATGTGGCCTCATGCTGTCATTTGCTCATCCTGTGATCAGCACCAACACGTGGGAATCACCTGTTATCAGTGCTTCCCAGAGGCTTTCTTTGTGACCAGAGGGAAAATGCACATGGCAACACATGGTTTTTTGACAGGGCACATGACATAGCTCAGTCGGCCTTTAACTCCTGATCCTCATACCCCATGTGCTAGGATGACTGACAGGCATGTATCCACACAATTGTTTAAGATAAGCACTAATATCAATAAGTAAATCAAGCACATGTGGCTTTCTGTTGTAAAAGAAAACCAGGTTTTTTTAATGTATTAAATAAAATATAGCATGGGTGGTATATAACTCAAGCTGGCCGTGAATCACAGCGATTGTCTCACCTCAATCTCTGTGTGCTGAAACTCCAGGCATGAGCACAAAGCACAACCTAGGCAGTATTTGCATTAGAAAACTCATTTATCTAAATCTAAAATTGGGGCATACATGTCAGTAATGCTCTTTTCATAATGCTACCTGTTACATCTTCTAATGTGCCAGGTTAGGAAAATTGCTTCACACAACTCAAATTTATGCAATTTGTTCCTCTCCATAGAGGAAAACAGTACAACAGAAGCTACAGAAGCTAATGTAAATAAAAACATAAACACTTACTGTCGCTGGGGAGGCCCGGGTTGTGTGTGTCACTGAATGACCAGAATTCTCCATTGAATTGCCAATGAGATAGGTTCCTCCCGAGCTGCTGATGAGTTGTCCTCCTGTGACGCCCATCTGAATCCCACCAGTACCCACCATACTGTGGGAGGACACCACGGTTGTCACCTGTGCAGAACTTCCTTGAGTATCAAAGTAATTTCCTCCAGTGTTTTGGCTATACATCTGTGTTTCTGTGTAGGGGTAAGTTGTTGTTCGGCTTTAGAAGAAGAAAACAAAGGAGAAATTTGTTAGCTTGTTTATATCATAATTGTTCTCTTTAATACAAATATATTTTAAAATACATCAACAATGCATAGCCTCTGAATCCTGTTAAAATTTATATTCTTCTGTGAAGTATTATTCCTACCAATGGTTGGATAGAGTTTACAAATTGTTTGTTTCTTAAAAGAGAACCTTAACTTGGTTTTGTACAATAGTACACTTACCCACTATAGGAGCACATTTCCAACTAAGCATAGGTCAATTCTCTGCAAGAAGTCTGTTAAGCAAATTCCTTCCTTTCATTCGAAACCTCAGGCATGCGCTAGTATTAGGAAGACTAGGATCTGCAACCAGGCTGACAGTCCACCTCTCAGGCCACCTCACATCCCTGGATGACTAGTTTACATTGGTTGGCTTCCTTCATATCTGAAGAAGCATTATGAATTCTTTCCTTAGCACAGAAGGATCTGGAGCTGGCACTCTGTGCATCTCTATCACTCTTTCTACTTACATAATGACTGTGCCGCTCGCTCTTCATGTACTTACTTTCCACTTCCCAAAAAGTCTGGTCAATCCTGTGACCTTAGCCTTTCAGTGAAATGGCTTTTAATAAGGTCACTTGTGACCAAATGTAAATACCAGGCTAAAAGGCTCCTGTCAGCCTTGTCTCCTTTGACCTATCTGCAGAATGACATTGCTGACCACTCCATGTTGCCCTTTTCTTTTTGGTCTGTTCTGATTAAGTGTATCTGATTTTTTTACTTTCAGTTGATGACATCTTACATTATAAGATACCTTTACATTTCTTTTTATTTTGTAATATGTAAACGCTCACAAGATGTTACAAAAATACAGAAATATAAAAATGTGCAGACACAAACACTTGACATGCTTATATCTTTAAAACTTCAAAGGATAAACTAGCATTTCCAGTTTGTGCTCTTCTCTAGCTCCGTCCCTGATGTGGCCAAGCCTGATTGTTGGGTAGGCATCAACTTTTGGTGTCAACTAGTCCATTGCTTCGTTTTTCTGTGGCATTCATTTCCACTCTCTACATTCACCGTTCGCACTCACACCCCTTTTCTAATCTCCATATTCCTGCCTTGTTCAATATGCTAGTTTTTGTGATTTCTGCTTTTCTTGTTAATTTAACTTAAACCAGAGGCCTTTACCATATACTATATGACACACATGTGCTCACGGTGAGCTATCTAGGCTTAGTTAGGAAATTTTATTTTCAAGTTCTAATTTAAGAATTTTAACATCTGAGTTTCTAATAGTCAACAGTTATTTCTAAACACCCACATAACTCGTTGAACATGGAGCTGTGGAGCTAGTGCCTCCATGGAGCCTTGACCTCTATGTTCTGTCTTTGGTGTGGGAAGGAACTCTGCAGGCTACAGAAAGAAAAATGTAAACACTAACCCAGTCACAAACCTTTTTCCTGCAATCAGTCCTGTTGCATTATAAGAACTCATGGGAGTAGCCAACCAATGTCTTATTTGACTTACAGCCCACTCTATGAGACAGAATCCATACCCAACACTGCTTGGGCGACCAAGAACCAGAGACTACATAGCCCAGAGACTTAAGAAAAGGCCCTAAAAATGGATCAATAAAACGACTCCTAATGAATTTTGCTGCACTCATAGATCTATACCTTATTCAGCTGTTATCAGAGAGTCTTCCTCCTGGAGTAGATGGAAACAGATGCAGATACCCATAGCCAGGCATTACACATAGAGAGAGTCCTTGGAACACACAGCATTAAATGGAGTATCTTCATCCAACCCTTCCCATAGAGCTCAGGGAACACAGATAAAGAGGAGATCAAAAGAGTGTAAGAGCCAGAGGGGATGAAAGACACCAGGAGAACCAGGCCCTCTGAATCAACTGAGCAAGGCTCATATGAAATCAAGAGACTGAAGCAGCACCACGGAGCTGACACAGACCTGCACCAGGTCTTCTGTGTCTATATTATTGCTTCCAGCTTAGTTTTTTTTTTTTAATGGAACTCCCTAGAATGTGATGAGAGGGTCCCTGATTCTTGTGCCCACTCTTGGGGCATTTTCATTCTGTTGGATTGCCTCAACCTGCTGCTTTTAGTTTTATCTAATATTTTATTTTGTTATGTTTGATTATGATCTTTTAGAAGCATCTTTTTTTTTTTAATGAGAGACAAGAAGGGACTGGATCCAGAGCAGAGGGTGGAGGTGAGCACTTGGGAGGAGGAAAGGGAGTAGAAACTGTAATTATGATATATTATATGAGAAAAGAATCTATTTTCAATAAAAGGAACAAAGAAAAGAGAAAACTCTATGCTATTAAGCACCCTCAAAGGTTCTTGTTCTTTTATGCCCTTCTTCAGGGCAGAGAACAGCACCTATCTGATGTCAGAGCTAATACTTCTTTTACACTGATATAAACCAGTAAATCCTAAGAATTTTCTTTTAAATAAAACATGGAATTCTGCAATACGCCTTCTCATCTTCATAGTCCTTAATTTACAATGCCATTTATTATAGCTGCCTTCTAACTGGTTTTCCTTCTTCAAACCTGGATCTCTGCCAACTTTCCTCCAATTTTGCTGCCATGAGAATTTTTCTAAAATATAAATATGGAAACAAAGTTTTACTAAAAAATCTTGCCATGATTACTGCTTTCGAAAGTCTTCCTTGCCTTCAAAAACTGCTCAAAACCTTACAGGCAGCACCAGGATTAGTTTTCACATAAGCTCAGAACTCAGTAATGGTCATGTTCTTAAATGCTTACTTCAATAACAGCACAATGCCATCATTTTCCTCCAGAAAGTACCATTTTCTCCACCGTTTTCGCTTTGCTTGGAGAGCTTTCTTATTTCTCCCAAATCTCTTTCTTTGTCCTAATCACCCTTAAAAGTTCAGTGTAATCTCCTCCTCTCAGATTTATTTTCAGCATCTTTGCTTACCACAACCACTTTGCACTGCTAAAATACAGCTCCCAAAAAACTGACTGCTAATTTACTTATATACCTGCACTCACATGAAATCGTACCTAACTTCTATCTATAATCTCAACACAATGCAGTCACTATATATAGTGATCACAATGGATAGCCAGTAACTTAAAACACAATTTCTATTGGTCATAATATCCAGCTTCATAAATTTCAATAAACAACTTTTAATATTTTGTTAATCATGAGAAATTGTGAAGCTAAGACTTTTAAATTTTCAATGACAAATTTTAACCTATCACAATACTTGGAATTCATATGAACTATAGAAAGGTAATTCTCATGACTCCTAATGACATTCTGCTATAAGTATAGATTAGTGTCTCAATCAGTCATCACCGGAGAAGCTTCTTGTAGTTGATGGAAACTAACAGAAGACTGGATAAAATGCAGAGAGCAAGAGGCTTTGGATCACTCAGCACTATATAAAATGTATTCATCGAACCCTCCCTCAGGGCCTAGTCATCTGTATGGAAGAGAAAGTGGAAAGACCATAAGAGCCAGGGAGGGGTGTGACTCCGATGAAACAGTGTTTTCCAGACACAACAGGACTGATGCACATATGAACTCAGAGACTGTGTCAGCACTCATGCGGCCTGTACATGTACATACCAGATGTGGCCCCATCAATGAGAAGGGGAAGTGGGCTCAAGCTTGTACCCCTAACCAAGAAGCTATATATAATCAGTATCTGTTTGCAAAGAATTTTTTTTTTTGTTTTTTTTTGAGACAGGGTTTCTCTGTGTAGCTCTGGCTGTCCTGGAACTCACACTGTAGAGCAGGCTGGCCTCCAATTCAGAAATCCGCCTGCATCTGCCTCCCAAGTGCTGAGATTAAAGGCATGCGCCACCACTGCCCAGCTGCAAAGAATGTTTTTTAAAAAACTGAAAATGTCATTTAAATTATATGTAAAATTCTTATCATTGCTATAATTTTCCAAACTAGAAGTCTTCTATATTTAATAAAATAAAGATAGTCATGTTGATTTCACATTTGAATTAAAAGAAAGAAGTTCATGTTAATTTATGTCCACTGAATAAAAAACAGCCTCATTTATTAATGCATAAATTAAGACAAGCTGATGCTGGTGTAAGTTATAGTCAAATGAGTTGTTATAAACACATACAGGGCAATAAATACTGACACAATCAAGACATGGTTCTGTTTCTCTTTCCAGCGTCCAAGACTGATAAGTGAGTATGTCCCCTATGGAGATGCTTTCCAAATTACAGACATAGTAACAGCTAAAGACAGCTCATGGCTGTTGACTATTTACTATACCACACACTCCACATACTTGTTGTAGAGGAATTTTAACCTAGCAACAAGGCTGCTCTGGCAAGGGATCATATTCAAAAACCTTTTAGATCTATATGATTCGGCCGGAGAACAGAAATGGAGTTAGAGTATTGTCTGGCTGGAATATAGACAAGCACTTAGAATATACCTTTAATCCCAAACAATGAAAGTAAGGTTACTTTGTAGATAGAGGCAGCCAGTTTGAGAGTGACATCTAATTGAGGGGCAGACAAAATGACAAATCAGAGAAAGCTTTGACAGAATGAGTCAGAGATAAGGACATGCCCAACTCTCACAGGAACAGTAAAGAGGTGGCTTAGGAGAGTCAGGCAGAAAGAGAGGAGACACGTTTACTGGACAGTTTTACAGAGACAGGTTGTTCAATGAGAAGCCTAGAGAAGCCAGATTGAATCAGTCAGCTTGGAAAGGACGTTGAGCCAGAATAGCTGAGGTGAACAGCCAGAGTTCAAAGAGAACTAGAAAAGGCGAGTTTATTTAGCAGTGAGCTTCCGAGATGGCAATTACATGTGGTAAATAAAAGTCACTATTATACTTTCATGGATTCTTTAATTTGTATGGTGATTCTTTGACTGATACAATTCATGTATCACATATAATCTGAATAAATACAATTTGGATCAGTTCAAAGGATTTGTCCAAAGTTAAACACTTATGAGCCAAAGATTTAATATTCAAACTCA